CATTATTATAATGATACATTGCACATCAAATCCCATTAAATGTATTTAGGCCATATTCAATAACTGTTTTGGAAAGAATTCCTTAAGTTTATCCGTTTTGAACTCCTCTGTTGACGCCCTTAAGCCAAGCACAACATTTTGCAAAGAAATTCCTACCTAGATGATTCTTTGTAAGACTAGGACAAGATTTATACAACTATGTATGAGTACAGTAGGCTACCTATGCATGATAACACAATGTGAGAAAATACGGTATAATCATCATACGGTACAATAATCAAACAAAATCATAAACATAACTAAATGCACAAAATATGTTAGTTAAGACTGTCATTATGCGATCTGCAACGTTAGTATGATTAGAACTAACAGGTGAATACGACGAATACAGTACATGCGAGAAAAGTTTAATCGGTTATTCAGATATTGATACGCAATGACTTTAATACTCCATAATTCGAACACGAATTCTAATTATAAGCACTGGATGATAATGGATAAAGCACAATTCCGTACCAAATGCCTGGAGACCTTCAGCAGACGACAGATGCATAAAAAAGATTTTCCTGTTTTAAGTAAAAAAATAAAACAAGTAGGAAAAACCCTACATTTAAAAATATCGAACAAGAACCATTGAACCCTGACCATTAATGCCGATCCTCGCGGTGGTCATGCAGCAGTGTGATACAAAGATTTCCCAGTGAACAGGTCAGTGTTCACTAGTTTCACTTTTAGCCAGACCACGGAAAGAAGCGCACTGACTGTGGACGTGTGCGCGTCACGGATCTGGCGGATAGAAACAGAAACGGTCTGGAGAGAGTCGACGCAGACGCACAATACTAAGAAATCAACGTTGATTAAACAATTCTAAAGACATGAAAAAATTCACTCCATTCGACAAAGGCATCAAGTTGGTGTCACGACCAAGCGATCTCGGTAAGTTGTATATATGTAGCTATATGTTTTATTATGATGCAAGTCTTCTAGTTCAGAGACTTCCTCGTATTAATGTGGAGGGCTGGATGACTCCATGTAGATATTTGAAAAGCGCTAAACCTAACGTCGGCATGAAATGATTCGAATGATGTTACGAATTACCACCATGCATTTACTATAGTAACACTAACTGCAGTCAGTATTTTTATTGAAGGCTTATTTAGTCATAACAAATAAGGTGAGATCATTTTTCTCCCAACTTCCGTCCTTCCAACTGCGCCAGTTTAGTAGTCAACCCGATCTCGTGAAAGTGCAAATAGTACGCCAAATTAAAACAAAAACTCGTGGTATTGATACGCAAAAATGGACTTTGGCGTGTATATGCAACGCAATGGGTAGCATTAGGGTTGTGGGGTAGATGCGTGTCATATGCACGCGAAAACTACATATCATAATGCACGCCAACAAATGTTTTATCATATGCATGCGAAAACTGCGTATTATATGCACGCCAAAGACCGTTTTTGCGTATCAATACCATGAGTTTTCGTTTTTATTTGGCGTACTATTGATATGCATTTTCATGAGACCGGGCTCTTACGCTTTGACGTGTTAGACCGCTGTTTTCCACGATGTTGTACCATGGTAGCCTATGTGATGCTTTAGTGTAAATATGCTTTAATAAAAAGTGAAAGTGAAATGTAAAACTAAAGAAAAGTAACATGCTTCTACATTATGCATTTCAGAACAGTTTTCTCAACCTAATCATTTGAATAAATGGCCAGAATAACTTGATTGTACAGTTATCTGTGTGGACTTCGTGATGCATATGGCATATGTTAGTGGAATTTACCAAGTTTTCTAATTATTCCAGATGAATATGACAATGACCTGGGTGTTTTAAGGGCTCAGCTGTCTTGTGGCCATGTCATAGATCCAGAAACACTGACTGACTGCTGCAGAGCTCAGCTGAACGATGTGAGTCTGTCTGTGAACATTTCTCTGTATTTTTACACTTCAAAGTAATTATAATATCAGTGTTATTATGACTATCATATTAATGCTGTGAAGACTAACCATAAGCTCTGGTGTTTAATTTCAGGGACAGACTGAATTCAAATGTCCGCTGTGCAAGAAAAAATGGCCATATGATGAAGTGCGAAAACTGGCAAAACTTACACTTGAAGAGCAACTGAGTTTTGAAGAAAAGCTTGGAACGAACACTGCTAAGAAGATAGTCGACTTCAGGGATGTATGTACATTTCTTGCTTTGATCTTGTGATTATATTATATATATATATATTTTTTTTTTGGACTCTCAATGTTGCTGTTAGTGGACAGATGAAAAGTGTTGCAGAAATAACACGTCTTCGTAAGGGACTTAATTTTAGAGATGGATCATGTGCAAGATTTTCTAACACTGTGCATTTCTGTATTTAATCTTTTCATATTCAGTGTCCTGGTTGCGGCACCTTCATCGAAAGGTCGGATGAATCTAATCTGTGTGTGGAGTGCTCAGTTTGCACAGCAAAAACTGGACGCATCTTTGAGTTCTGCTGGAAGTGTGAGAGATTGTGGAAAGGGCCTCGACCTCGTGCTGATCAGTGTGGAAATGTGGGATGTAGAAGCGCTGATCAGGAACTGCTGAGAGACTGTCCAATGATCACTTTATCATCAGTTGTATATAAGGGGACCGATGCTCATGTCCAGTGTCCTGTGATTCGTGCGTGTCCATTTTGTGGTGTGTTAATAGAACATAATAAGGGATGTAAAATAATGTCATGTCGTGAATGCGGGAAGCAGTTTTGCTTTGCTTGTTTAAAATCTGCCCTCGAGTGCTTAAAAACATCCACCCATTTCATTTCATGCTCAGCTGGTGTTGCACCAAGGCAAACAAATTCTGTACTTTAAGAACATGTCCAACAACGTTGATATCAACTACCATGGCGACTGCCATAAGACTACACAGACTTCTCTTAAATAATAGTAGAAAAAATGTCTATGGGATACTTGGAAATATATTTTTATTCACATTTCCATTTATTCGTTTAGCAGATACTTTTATCCAAACTAACTTCAAAAAAGTAACGTCACAAGCATTATTCATAACACTTCATATACAATGTTAAATGTAAATTATAAACTAGAGAGTAGGGTAAATGCAGAAAAGAAGAACATTTCATAGAAAATACAGTTTTTGATAAATAAACAGGGATTATAATGTGTCTTTGTTTATGGCTGTAGACTAGTTATGTTTTTGTGCAAGTGTTTGCCTTCAGTGTGAGTGTGTGTGTGTGTGTGTGTGCGTGCGTGTGAGTGAGTGTGAGTGAGTGTGAGTGAGTGAGTGTGTGTGAGAGAGTGTGTGTGTGTGCGTGTGAGTGTGTGTGAGAGAGTGTGTGTGTGCGTGCGTGTGTGAGAGAGTGTGGGTGTGCGTGCGTGT